ATTTCATTCTTCAATGAGATGGAAAAGGCAATCTCCAGCTTCATTTGGAATGGAAAGAAGCCACGAATAAGCAAAGCACTTCTTAAAAATAGGAATCTAGACTCTTTAATGATAACAAAATAGATTTCTGTTTGTTAAAACCAACCACTTCTGGCATCTTTGCTACAGTAGTATTAAATAATCAAGATATTAACTATGTGACACTTCTACCACACTGTTGAAATGTTTATTTTGCTTGTTCCTTGAAAATGGAAACATAAATACTGAGAGGCAAGAAGATTTAGTAACTCTATTAAGACATACCTTTCCATCTGACTCAAAACATTAAGGCAAGATTTAATTTAAAATTTTAATTGATTTTGCATGAAATGGTCCTGTTTTTATTTTACATAAGAGAATTGAAGGCTGTTATATTTTAATTATTTTCATGAGAAAAAGAAAATTAAAAATGAAAGTGAAATGCTTACAAATGATAGAACTGTAATTCGTATTTTAAGTTATTTACACATCCACCTATTGACCTACACAATGAATAACTCAGCCAGGTACTGGGAATAAAACACAATGAAACAAAAAAAATAAGCATTAGTCCTCAGAGGAATTGCAGTCTTTCAGGAATGATAAATAATTAAACAACAAATTCAAAGTGTACTATGTGTCACAAAGAACAAATGAAAGCTAACCTACCCTACATTTATAGACATGGAGAGGTCTGTTCCAGAGAAAGTTAAGTTCAAGGTAAAAGGAACCAGAAGAAAATGAGTGAGGAGATCCATAGGGAACTGTGATAAGGAAGGTACTTTAGACATAGAGCGCAGGGAGGAGACAGATGCTTAATGAGGCTGGAGAGCCGAGTAGGCAAAGGATCATAAACGATGAGGATCTTTAACTTTTCCTGAGGGCAACAGGAAGCCCCTAGAAGCTTTTCAGCAAGAGAATGATTATATTTTCACTTTTCAAAACCTTTTATTATAAAACGAAACCAAGTTACAAAAAAACAAATTGCCATAGTGAATGTCATAGTGGGTCATGACTCAGATCAAGAAAGAGAACGTTTTACCAAGCCAGACACCCTCCATGTGCTCCTTTCTAATCAGAGCGCTTCTCTTCCTCACAGAGATACTGCATCTTGCGTCATTTCTCTATAACTTTTCACCTAGGTATCCTTCAACTGTGGTGTTGTCAAAGTATTGAATGGACTACAAACTGGCCAAAAAAGAAACAAATCTGGCACAGAAGTGTTTCACATCCTTCAGGCATGTTGTCAGCCGGACCCACTCCTCAGAGGAAGGCATCATACAGGGAAAAATAGTGGGTCAACTAAAAAGAGGAAGACTCTCAATGGCATAGAATCACAGTGACTTCAACAATGGGCTTAAGCTCAGCACAGAATGTAAGCCTGGCACAGAATTAAAAGTTTCTACCTTGTTAGACAAGAAGGGTTGGTTTGAGTCTGAGTCGACTTCACAGTACCTAACAACATACGTAAACACATACTGTAATTATGAACTCCGTGATTTAAAAAAACACTTGGTGGATTTCAATCCACTGAACCCTTATTAAAGCTCAAATTGTACTACTTTTGTTCACCAGAATTTCAAGTGCCTTTGTCATAATTCTGATAGCTTCCCTGTTAGACATAGGCCCAAATGTTCCAGTATCTTTTTTTTTAATTAAGATTTTTTTAATAAATTTGCATACAATCATTCAAATACATTATATCCAGAATCTTCTTCTATATTTCCTCACACAAAGTAGGAATCAGTCACTTACCTAAGACATCGTCCTCATAAGGGGAAAGATTGTTTAAGTACCACAATCTTAACACCAGTATTACCAAGTCGGGGATCATTTCTAGGCCTTTTTGGTGGTCACAGCTAGGATAAAACCAGTTCCTTACATTTCAATATTTATAGATGTAAGAGTGTATGTGTGAAATGCAAAAGAAATCAAGGGATCAAGAAAGGACTTCACATTTTTTACCTTAGCAATTCAGAGTGAAGCTGTCTTTTACTGGGGAAAAGAAGGCTATAATAAAGCATGTTTCTGGAAGGAAATATAAATTAGATTTGAATGTACTCAAAGTTTGAGACACTATTATTTCTACAACTAGATACAAATTCTATTCATTTAGAAAAGAAAAAAAGAAGAGATGATAAATGTGGAAGCCACCAGCATGCAGGCAAAGTTACAGTTATGAAGCCAAGTGGAATTCACCTAACAAGTCGATTATCTGGCTGTGTGATTTGTCACAGGAATTAGTATAAGGAGCAACAGGAAAAATGGAATGATTTAACAAAAAGCAAAGCTAAAACATAAGTTTGTTCTTTTATTTCTTGGATTGGTAAAACATACCTGGGAACCAACTTCTGCGCTGACAGAATCCATGAAGCTCTGATCGGTTGGATAAAGGGCACAAGCAAACATGAAATCCTGCCATATCTATCAGGTAAAACAAAAAGCAGTAAATCATCTTCATAATTTTAATTACACAGAAAGACAATCTTCGTTTGGAACTTTGGGAACTATCTTACACACAAATTAAAAAATCAAGTTCTTCTGATGAGTCATGCCCCTTTTAGAACTTCTGCCCACTGAGACACTGAAGGAGACCTTTACAAGGTAGACTCAACTTCTTCTGAAAATGGCATAAACTATAGGGAATCTTAGATAAGAAAATGTGAGGCAAACTAAAAAGAAAGAATTAAGTTAAATAAATGACTGTGTCAGGGAGGATACAAACTTTCCCATGTTCTCTAAAAAAACAAAACCAAAACTCCTTTGATACAGTGAAAAGTACATGAAATGTACAGATTAGGAAGTAAGCCTGTGGTTAACATGCTTACTGAGGACCCCTCTACCCCATCCTGTCAGGGACTGTAATTCTGAAAAGAGGCCTTGGTTCTGTAGGAAGGTTCTTTGGGGTTAGTAGTAAGAGAGATGACAGTCATTCTTAGAAAAAAAATCTTTGATGTGATATAAAAATGGGAAATTGCTTACTGCAGATTACTATATAAACACATATAAGCCTGTGCTTACTTTGTTTATTGGGTAATCTTGACAGTGGATATACTAGACTGCCAAGAAACTTCATTTAGATGCATGGTTTTTACTTTGTTTACAAAAGAGTTACTTTTCTTGCCATAAAGGATGTTGTCGTTGTTTTTGTTGTTGTTATGATGTGCTATCAAGTCGTTGTGACTCAGTGACCCTATGTACAACAGCTCTGAAGCCTACTTTACCTTGAGCCAATTTCATTGTCTCCAACACACCTGCACCCCTTAACCCAGTCACCGAGTGAATCCATATCATCCAGGGTCTTCGTCTCTTGCACTGTCCCTCCATCATTACAAGCATGATGTCCTTCTCGAAGGACAACATACCGAAAGGTGTTTCAAAATCCTTGCCTCCAAAGACCAGCCTGGTTTCATCTTCTCCACGACAGACCTATTTGTTCTCTTAGCAGTCCATGGTGCATTCAATACTCTTCTCCAGCACCACAATTAAAAGGCATCGATTCTTCTATCATTCTTAGTCACTGTCTGGCTCCAATGCATAGCAAGTAATTACAAAGGCAACAGCTTGGGTCAGCGCACCTTAGCCCCTAGACTGACATCATTACTCTTCAGTACTCTAGAGAGGTCCCTGATAGCAATTTTCCCAATGCAATTTGTCTTTTAATTTCCTGGCTGCTGGTACCAAGAGTGTTGACTGTAGAGCCAAGCAAGATTTACCTGTTAACATTTCAATTTCTTCTCCATCCATCATGATGCTGCCAATTGGCCCAATGATGAGAATCTCTTGATGTTGAGCTTCAATCCATACTGAACGCTGCAGTCCTTGACCTTCTGCAACAAATGCTTTAGGTCCTCCTGAAGTTTTAGCAAGCAAGGTTATGTCATTTGCATAATGCAGGTTGTTGATGAGTCTTCCTCCAATTCTTATGCCACATTCCTCCTCATAAATTCCAGCCTCCCAAATGATCTGTTCCACATATAGATTTAAAAGGTATGGATAAGAGTGGATAATGACCATTGCATTGGGAAGGAAAGAGCTGTTTAAAAGGAATATATGATTAGGTATTACACATAGGACAACAGCCCAGAATAAGAGATATATCATTGCAAAGAGGACTTGGGGCAAGAGGGAAGGTAGGTAATTATGCAACACTGAATGAACACTAAAAAAGAGAGAGAGAGAGAGAGAGAGAGAGAGAGAGAGAGAGAATGGGAAAGGGGAAGAGAGGGTGATAAAATATGCAACAACGAAAGAATGAAAATCTAACTTCTCTGTAAACATTCATTAAAATAATGTGGGGTGTTTTTTTTTAAAAAAAAAGGTATGGAGATCAGCTGCATCCCTGGTGTACACCTTTCCTGATTTTGAACCATGCAGTGTTTCCTTGCTCTTTCTGATGCCTCCTGCTCCAAGTATAGGTTTTGCATAAGCACAACCAAGTGTCCTGTGATTCCCATTATTCTCAAGATTAAGCACAATTTTTTGTGATCCATAGAGTTAAATGCATTTGCATTGTCTATGAAACACAGACATTCCTCTGGCACTATCTTCTATCAGCCAATATCCATATAAGATTGACAATAATGTCCATAGTGTCCCACTTCTTGTAAACTCAGCCAGAAAGGATAGGGAAGTAAAATAATGCAGTGGTTAAGAGTACAGATTTGGAGGAGTAGGGAAGAGAACAGATTTGGAACCAGGCTACCTGAGTCAGAATCTTGATTCCATTTAAAAACTGTAGTTTTAGGGAAGTTATTCATAATCGTCTTTAGGATAAAGTTAGGATAACTCTTTAGGATAAATAACTCTTTAGGGAAGTTACTCATAATCCTCTTCATAAGTCAATTTCCCTCTTTGTAAAACAGGAAATGATGGGAACTTATAGGATAGTCTTAAGAGTAAAAGGAAACTTTCTATACAGAGCACTTAAAACAATACCTGATATTCAAATAACATTATATAATATCATTACTGAACCATCAGCATTTCCATGATAAATACCACTTTCTATGAAGCTCTTGAGATTTTTTAACCATAACATATTTCCTTTGCTTAATCCTCACTAATGACAAGTTCAAGGTATTTAACAACACTAAGTATGTATTTTCTTTCCTTACTTTTACTGTCTTTCTTTTCTGTAGGTTTTGTTAGATCTCCTTGAAGGCAAACTTTTAAAAACATTTCATTTGCTTTTTTTATTCATACATACACATCACAAAGAATAAAGTAGGTAACATGCACTTAAATATAACTAGTATTAGAAGCTGCATCATTTTAATTCGATTGCTTATGCTTTTTACAAAGAGCACTGGTGGCCTAGTAAACTGCAAGAAGCTGCACTGCAATCCCACAGGCACATGGTTCTCTGCTTCACAGGAGAACGATGGACAATCTCCTCCCATGCAATTAAGTGCCTCTGAAAAACCCACTGGAGGGTCAGCTATGGGTCAGTTCTGACTTAACAATACTCAACAATGTGCTTCTGTTCTGGGTTTGCAAAACACCTGTCATTTCTGGATCTGAATAAAGAAGTCATCAGTGATATCACAGATGGTGAACACTAAAAATCAAACTGAGATGACAATAACATAACAATGTGTAAAACACTATCTTATACTAACCATTATTCCTAGTTGATCACAGAGTTCATAGAATTCATCCTGCTCATAAATTCCTCCTCCCCAAACCCGGAGAGCATTCATGTTAGCATCCACAGTCGAGTGCAAGAGGAGTTGTAACCTAAAGAGGAAAAAAAAAACCAAAACACCTTTCAACTTAAACTATCTAATCTGAAAATTTTTTTTAAAAAGTCCTAATTTTACAATTTGGGGATAGTAATAAACAGGGAAAGTACATGATAGTGCAGAAACACATTTCAAAATCCCTAGTAGTGGTAGTAGGTAGATAGCCTCGAGTCTGCACCATCGCAAGAGAGAAATGTTACCAGGTTCATAATGATGAATATGGCGATAAGTGAAGGGAGATATAATTTTTAGCACATTACATGGGTTTTTATAGGCTCCTTTAGAAGGTTCACAACCTTAGAATTACAAACTTAGAAAAACTGAGTGGTATCATTTCTCTGTTTTCTAAATTTTGAGTATCATTTTGCCTGTAAAAAGCAGAATTGATGCCTTTGAGCTGTGGTACTAGAAAAGAGTATTGAATATACCATGGACTTCTAAGAAAAAAAAGAGGTTCATCCTGGAGAGGGTTAAAACAGGCGGCTCCTTGGAGGCAAGGATTCTGAGATTTCATCTGACATACTTTGGACATGTTGTTAGGTGGGATCAGTCCTTGGAGAGCGACGTCATGCTTGGGAAGGTGGAGGAACTGCGCAGGAGAGGAAGACCCTCTATGAGGTGGATTGATTCAGTGACTGGGGTAATCGAGATGGGTGTATCGAAGACAGTGCAACTGGCACAGGACAAAGCAGAGTTTAGGGCTGTTGTACATAGGATTGCTATGAATCGCAAGCGACTTGACGGCACATAACAACAACAACAACGTTATGCCATTTTTTTTTTAATTTAGGTTGTTTATTTTTCATTTCAATGAACATCTACAGAGATTTTGGGATTCCATTCATTCTTTGTTGCACCGTTATGCCATTTTTAATGCTAAAGTTTTGTTTCATAATTATTCTTGTCGAAAATAAAGTTATAACCCTAGTAAAGTATATGGCAATTTTATGTAACCATTTCAAACTATAGGTGTTTGTTGTGGTGTTTTGTTTTGTTTTTTAAAAAAAAGCTTGAAGATTAATGACCGATTCAGAAAAGTGGCAGGTTACAAGATCAACATACAAAAATCAGTCCAATTTCTTTGTATTAAATAAAAAGAGCACTCTGAAAAGAAAAATAAAGAAAACAATGACACAATAGCCAAAAGATTAAATATTTAAGAATAAATCTAACTGGTATACAAAAGACCAACACAATACCAAGAAATCTACAAAACCCTACTACCAAAAAAAAATAAAAAAATAAACCTAAGGGAAATCTACATAAATTGAAGGATATACAACACTAATAGACAAGAAGAGTAATTATTGTAAAAATGTGGGTATGATTAAAGTTATCTACAGATAAAATGCCAATTTAGATCCCATCATCATTATTCAAAACATGGAAAAAGCAATTGTCAATTTTCTATGGAAAGGAAAGAGACCCCAGATAAGGATAGCACAAGTAAAGAAGAAAAATTATTTAGGAGACCTTATATCTCTTCATCTCAAAACCTGTAGATTTGTAAAACAGTCACTTTAATCAAAACAACCTTGTGCTGGTACAGTCATAGACCAATAATACAGAACTAAGAACCCAGAATTAAGTCTAACCACAGATAGACAGCAGATCTTTGACTAAGAGATGAAGTCCATTAAGTGGGGGAAAGATAGCTTCTTTAACAAAAACTCTCAAATCTCATTGCTGCCAAGTCAGAACCAATTCATAGATGAGTTGTCAGTGGGTATTTAGAAGCAGTAAAATCAACACAGAAAAAGACTGCTCATCTTTATCACACAGAGCAGCTGGTGGATTCAAACCACCAAAGAGATGCCACCTTTAGATTAACAGTGCAGCTCCCTATGGGTTATGCCAACAGAGAAATAGTGTTGGCAAAATAGGATATTAGCAGAAAATGGAAACAAGATTAGCAAATCATACCATACACAAAAATTAACTCAAGATGGTCAAAGACCTAGGCATAAAACTAAAACTATAATGATCATCAAAGAAAAAAAAATGGGGCCAATAGTGGTAAGGAGCCACACTGCCAACCCAAAGGCACATGGTTCAAATCTACCAGCTGCTCCACAAAAGAAAGATGAACAATCTACTCCTGTGTGACTTATTCCTTCTGAAAATCCACTTGTAGGTCAGCTTTGGGTTGGTTCCAACTCACTAGTACATAACAACAACAACAACAAGAATCTAAGGCATAGATTATAATAATATTTAACCAAAACACATTCAATCAGCAAAGGATAAACTAGACAATGTTTCTGTTGTTAGGTGCCTTCAAGTTGCCATCGCCTAACAGTGACCCTATGAACAAAAGACCTGAATCCCATCCTATTCTGTACCATTCTCACCATCTCTGACACTCTTGAAACCATTGTTGCAATCCCTATGTCAAACCACGTAAATGAAGGTCTTCCTATCTTTCGCTGACCCTTTACCCTTCCATGTATGCTGTTCCATGTCCCTTTGCAAAAAATAGCCTCTCTTAGCAACATATCCAAAGTATGAGAATGAAATTTTGCCATCCTTGGCTCCTGGCTGCGTCTTTTCCAAGACATACCTGTTCATTCTTTTAGAAAGTCCATGGGATATTCAGCACTCTTCTCAACATCACCGTTCAAAGGTATTAATTCTTCTGTCAACCTTATTCATTGTCCAGCTCTCATCCAAGTAATGAAAAAAACCATGGCCTAAATTAGGCACATTTAGTCTTCTAACAGACATCCTTTCTCTTCAGTATTTTGGAGAGATCCCTGATAGCAGATTTGCTCAAAGCAACACATTTTCTTATATGCCGATATGAAGGGTGTTGACTGTGGATCCAAGTAAGACAAAATAATTGACAATTTCAATCCTTTCTCCATCTATCATAATATTGTGGTAAGGACCTTTGTTTTCTTGGTTTTGAGATGCAATCTATATTGAAGGCTGTAGTCTTTTATTTTCTGCAAAAAATGCTACAGATATTCTTCACTTTCAGCAACCAAGGTTGTGCCATTTACATAATGCAGGTTGTGATGAGTCTTCCTCCAATTCTGATCTCACATTCGTCTTCACGGAGTCATTTGCTCAGCATACAGATTAAATAATTACGCAGAAAGGACATACCCCTGATGCCCATCTTTCCTGGTTTTAAAGAGTACAGCGTTGTTTTGTTCCATTTGAAAAACAGCTTCTTGGTCTAGATATAGATTTTGTACAAGCATAATTAAGTGTTCTGGGATTCTGATTTTTTCTCTGTGTTAGCCATAGCTTGTTATGATCCACACAGTCAAATACCTTTACACAGGAAATAAAACACAGAAAGACATTCTTCGGGTATTCTCTGCTTTTAGCCAGGATCCATCTGACATCAGCAATGACATTCCTGTAAACACAGCTTCTTCTATATCAAGCTTGAACTTCTACTAGTTCTCTCTCGATGTACTGTTTCCGCCATTTGTTTATATTCTGTAATATTCTGCCTGCATATGATCTTAACAATACGGTTCAATAATTTCCACATCTGTTGAATCACCTTTCTTGGGAATGAGAACAAATATGGATCTATTCCAGTCAGTCATGAGTCAGCTATCCTCCAAGTTTCAGCAGAACATAGACTTGTAAGCATGTCCAGGGTTGTGTCTGTTAGTTTAAACCCATCAATCAATATCCCAAATATTCCTGGGGCCTTATTTTTCTGCCTGTGTCTTCAACGTAGCTCGAACTCCTTCCTTTCTTACCACTGACTCTTAGTCATATGGTACTTGCTGAAATTTTTCAAGGTCAACCAATTCTTTTCGGCACAGTGACAATGTTCAGCTTGAAAAATTCCAACTGAATTCTTCTCATTTTATTCTCTGAATCTAGCTCTTTGCACATTTCATTATACAACTTTGTCTTCTTGAGCCACCCTTTGAAAATTTTGGTTAATTTTTTTTATTTAAGCATCTCTTCCTTTTGGTTTGGCTTCTCGACACTCTAAATGGAAACAACCCAAGTACCCATCAACAAATGAATGGATAGAGAAGCTCTGGTATATTCACACAATGGAATGCTATGCAGCATTGAAAAACAAGGAACTCTACAACCAGGAGAAGATAAAGTAGATGAATGGGATCTTCTAAGACTCAAATCCTTATGC